TTCTGGTATCATCACCCTCACTTTCTTCAAAGTCAAGGTACCTTCTCCAATTAGTTAACTGAGGAACATCCATTTCCTTTACATGAAAGTAAGGTCTTTTAATCTAAACAAAAAAAATAAAAAGCTCAATATCTTTACAAAGATTATGAGATCTTAATACAATAAAATCTTCATATACTACCTCTTGTTCAAATACCCAACGTTTGTTAACTTCAATATGTGTTCTGGTATAATTATCCACACAAAGATTATAAACACGTGTTCGAATATCATTTTGAATTTGATCTTCTGTCTGGATAAACGTAAAAATCAAAGATTATACAAATATTATATTTGATAATTAAAATAGCTGGATTGTATTAAAGATTTTATAAATGAGATTCACCTTTTCTGTAGGTGGTGATTGTTGTTCGCCTTCTGTTTCTTCAGTTGGGGGTAGAGGAGCTGCCTTTACTTCTTCTTCATATTCTTTATATTGTTCAGGGGACAATAATTCAGTGATTGGTCGTGTGCTGAGCAAATTATTAAAACTAATCGAATAAAAGAAAGAATGATGAGTGGAGTGTCGTAAAAAAGAAAAAATTTAATTTTAAAATATTTTTTTGGACATTACTCTTCAAAAAATCTAGTATACTGGTGAATAGGAATACGAATGATCCTATCTAGTATTTTCATAACGCGAACATAATCTTGCATTGATTTCTCAAATTCAATATATTTATCCCAAAATAAATGGGAAAGGAAATCAAGTCCTACGTAAGCAGCACCACGTTCGAATAAACTATTAAATAGACGAATGAAGATATCTTTAGTTGTTGATACCTTGCAAAAATATATAATAAAAGAAAACAGAGAAAATAAAAAAAAATCAAGTGACTAAAACTCAAGCTATAACTTAGATTACAATTAGCCTAGTTCCTTGTAATATTTATGATTAAGGGTGCTTAAATGGAATTAAATTCTCCCGTCAGATGGCTTGGTCATCACCCGGCAAATTCTAATGCCCTTGCGATTCCTTCATTCATATTATTGCTGAAACTCAACAAAATAAAAAATATTTGATAACGAATAGAAACAAAACATCATAAAAAAACAAGAATAACTTCAAATAACCAAATTCACTTCGTGTACTTTTACTGCCATCCTGACTGGATTGTAGCTGAGATATCTCTGGCTTACTTAAAACATAAGTAATATATAACAAAAACCAATAAAGGATGCAAAAAATAAACAATAAACAAAAACTATTGAATTATCAGTATAAACATGAACCTACCCTCTTATAGCCTCTAAATCATCAGGATAATGCTCGATTCTAAATGCACAATATTGTGTCCAAAGGTCAACTGAATTTGCTATAGCAGCGACACCACGTTCATAAATCTTATTTAAATTTTTATTATAAATTATTTTGTCATTAAAAATTAAAATATATATCAAGAGAACAGTAATAAAATTAACCTTTTCAGCCTCAGTTGGACCCTGTATGGTGAATTCAAAATCTGCATATTTCTTCCAATAGCCAAAACATAAAGGAAATTTGGCCAAGAATTGATCAAATACTTCACGCATATTAGTTATATTCTCTGCCGGCGATTTTGGTGTTAAACCATCCTCTGCACTTTCGGCAATCCTAATTAAATATTCCCATGATACAAAGTCCTAAAATATAAATGAGAATTAACCAACCGATAAATGTAATCTACCATTGTAATAATATAATTACATCTGGATTAGCCTTGACGATTTCCCAATAGCGTTCTAATTCTGATTTCTGAGAAGTTGGTTCCGTTGTGTCTTCAGCTGCAGTTTCTACGCCATTAGTTTGGGCTAAGAGGAAAATAATAGATCAAATATTAGTCATTAATCTTACAATAATCACATTATATTACATCGTTCAGATCTTTAAGCTCAATTTGAAGTATTGTGGAGGTAAATACTCTAAGCATCTATAGTGGACTTCAACCTGTCGCAATGTGCTCTGATTTTATCCTATAACTAACTGTCCCACCATAGTTGGGAAATCATACCAAGAGCTGAATCAGTAGCGTATTGTGCATATTGTGCTGCAGCTGCTGGATCGTCGTAAAGTGGCATTTTTCTTTTGAATCAGTTTAAAAGTAAAGATCTAACTTTATGTCGGAAATTTATAAAGTTAATGACGAATATGACGTAATGAGTTTATCAAGTTATTATTCGTGATTGATCATCCTTTACTAGGATATTATATATAAAAAAATCGTTAATTGCTAGGAAAATCAGGTTCCGAAAAATTTCCGGAATATGATCTTCCTAGCTTAAATTATTAAATTTTAATTTAGATTATTTGTTTATCAATTTCAATTATTTAAAGCAATAATTCAATTATTTTATTTAATGAATTTCTTTT